ATTTGTTGGATCATATGGTAATTCTATTTTTATTTTATTTTGTTTTTGAGGTACTGCCAGTCTGATTTCCATAGCATTTGTATTATTTTACATTTCTCTCATTAGGGCACAGGAGTTCCAATTTCTCCATGTCCTCCTCAACATTTGTTATTTTCTATTTTTTATATCCTAATGGGAGTGGAGTATCTCATCATGGGGTCCATTTGCATTTTCCTCATGATTAATGGTGATGAGCAGCTTTTCATGTGCTCATCGGTCTTTGTGTATCTTCTTTGGCAAAATCTCTGCTGTACTCCTTTACGAGGTTTGTTATTATGTTGTTGAATTTCATAGATGTATTTTTAAATTACATAATACACATTTAATGCTACCCTAATGCATTCTAGGGGAATCCCAGAACTTGGGATACAATGATTTATTATCAAATAGCCAACAGCCTGAGCACTTTCTGGTTGTTACCAGCCATAGAGAAGATAGGATGAGGAAATGAGCTACTTGGGAATATAGGCAGGCAGAACCCACTGGGTTGGTCATTCAGGCAAATTTTGCCGATCACTGTGTTACTTTTGACAAGTAGGTTATAAATTTAGGAAGTGAGTGACTCATTTTCCATTCCTGATGGTTGTATTACAAAAGGCCTTGCGTGTACTCGACTACTTACCAGCAGTAAGCACCCAAACACAGTCAGTCAGCTCGGGACGTGTGCTCCAAAGCTGTCAAGCAGGGCCGACTTCTCAGTTTCTAGGCTGTGCTGTGCAGAAACAGCCTCAGATTTTCTTCACAGTGTGGGTCACTGTGACCTCAAGTGTTCTGGCTCCACCTCTGGAATCCCTCCTCTGGCTATGGAAGTCCTGCCAAACTCTCTGGAATATAACAGCTTAGTCTGCCCCTGCTGCTACCACCGCCTCTGCTGCTCCTGGGGCTGCTGCGGTTTCCGAGCTGTGTCCCACTCACCCCCGTCTGGCCCCGACTTGTCCATTAGCCTTCCCTCCTGCCCCGCCAGCACCCCCTGCAGCAGTGCTTTCGCACCTTGCCTCATCCATCCTGAGCACGTGGCCAAAGTCAGGGGGACCTGTTGGAGCAGGCATGGCTGAGCGCTTGGCTGGCGGCCAGGAACCTGTTGTAAAGACTCCTTCTTGCTGTTTAAGATTAAACGAGGCTTGGGGATGATGCTGATGAAACTGTTTAGAAAGCTGGATGTGTTGCCCCTGTAGCCAGTCTAGGTCCTACCGTCATTACTGGGATCCGACTGACTTGCTTTTCAAGTCTGGGCGGATACACATTTGCAGGGATGCCCTCAGGACTTTCTACTTTAAACACATGCAGGGCAAATCCCGTTTTGAAAACTCTAAGAGGTTGTTTATTTTGCCAACACTGTAAAGGCTCTTCCCCAATACACAGACAGATTTTTTTTAACCACATGGAACTCATACACGTTTTTTCATCCTGCTACCATATTCTTGAAACACTTTCCAGCATGCATTCCGTTCTTTTAGCAGCTCTTAGCATAGCAGAGCCACCATGCTACAGAATAGGAGGCCGGGTATCCTGTGCATAGCACACTGATCTTTGGAGTCATACACGCTTCAATTACACTGCAGCCTCACAACTCACTAAGCAAAGCCAAGGCAAGTGTGTCAGACCCATTAGTTATCACATCCTTTGTTTCTCAAATGGTGAAAGTTCTCTTCATATCATAGCAAGAGTTATCTGGTGTCCATGTCCTAAACATGTGCTTGGCAATGTGTTAATGTTTGAAATCAAATTATGTTGTTAATGTTGAATTGGGAAATGGAACATAAGATTTTCAGTTATTATCAATGCATCCAGTCCAGTGAAGACAAGCATGTAATCAACTACAGGACAATGGAAAAGCTATGTGGAAGTTAATGAAAGAAAAGGTCGAAGGGGGAGCTAGTTAATTCTGCTGTGGCTAGAGAAACCATCAGTGCCCTTGCGGATGCCATATCAAAGGACTGAATTTAACAAATGAAAAAGATTTGGATGGATCTCTTACTGTTAGAAAATTACATACTTAATATGTATCTCAAAATGTCCCTTGAGCTTATGATATTCTTTCTCTCTTTCATTCCAAAACCCTAATTTTATCAAATCCTTCAGGCTTTACTCAGGTGTCTAATATTGCTTGATCCTTTCCATAATGATTGAGTAAATTAAATATTATGTAAAAGTATACTTGTATGCTGAGGCCTAAAAATAGTTTTTCCTATATAGAAATTTATTTTGGCAAAAGCACTTCTGTAATAGACTGTAACCTGTATTAACACGAGTGCCATCAATCATTCTCTGAGATGAATATGATAAACATTACCATTTTTGATCCAAATAAAGCTGGTAGAGCTAGGGAAAAAAAAACCATATGGGTTCTTTGCTTTTTTTAAAGTGAGGTACATTTTCATCCTGGAACTACTCAACTGTTTCTGAGACAATAATATGCCAGTTGAGTTTGGATACAATCTGCTGATATAACGTAAAGGTCTTAGAACAATAAACAAGACCTATAATATGGGGGCCTGATGGCATCAGGATAATTAGATCCAGCAGTACACTCTGTAACAACCAAATGAAAGAAAACCACAGCACAGCAAGCTAGAGGCACATTGCTATCCCACTTTTGCTAAATAACTCCGGCTAGATAATATTCAGTGATAATGAAAATAATCAGTAAAGTCTACTGCGTAAATTACTAAGGCAAGTTATACCTATAAAATTCCAGAAAAACAAAACCCAGAGGCAGGACACAGCACACTCCTAAACTCTCTCACTCACAACATACCGCTCTATTCCTGGTACTGAGACTGTAACAACCAGCTACAACAGACTCAGGACCACGGTTCAGATAGGAAATGAAAACAGCCATTCTGCATTGGAAAGTAATGATAATAGGATTACAATTACACAGCAGTTACAAACTGGCTGTTGTGTAAATGTGATCCATTCACAGGCCTTGTTTGACCAGTGAAATGATTTTCATTTAGTTACAAGGTTGCACATGAAAAGTTAGATTTCTCTCTTTGTTTTATAATTGGACCCCAGTGCCATCCAGGAGCATCTGTTTCTAGTACCCTCTGCCTCCCTTCTGCCAAGTGTCCATTCAGTGACGGGCTCTGGCCTCTGTGACTGCCTTTCTAATCTTACACCCCGAGTGCTCCAATCAACCCTTTTTGTCTCGTTTTTCTCCCCAGCACTGATGGCCTTTAGAATGCTGCTTTCCTGGGTTCCAAAGCTGAGATCTAAGCCCTGTGCTTCTTCACACTGTTTAAGTCATACCATGAGTATTTTTACCTGTGGCAAAAGACAAGTCAAAACCTCCTTACAAAACCAAGACGTTATTGGGTTTCCATCTAAGAAAAGATATCTGCTCTAATAAAGAAAAATAAAAGTGTTTCAGGAAGTTCCTCAAATATCCCTTATTAAAATCAGAAGTAATGTTTGAGCTGAGACCTAGACGAGGGCCCCCGTCTTCTCCGGTGTCAGATGCGCCCATGGACACCTCTGCAGATTCCCCCTCTGGCGCACGGCAAACCCTCTGGTCAGCCCAGTCAGATGCAGCTCTGAGGCAGAGGCCTGGTGCGGAAAGACAAGATCTCTGATCCCCAGTCCTGACCTGAGCCTTGCTCTGCTCAGAGAAACAGAGAATATGTCCAGTGTTGGGGTTCTATTTGCTAGTCATGAGTTATGTGACTTGGGACACATCTGCTCATCTTTTATTCCCTTTTGACACAAGCTTGGCTGTGGGAAATCTGCAGTTTCCCCATGGGCCTCCTCTGTGGTGAAGACAGACAGGGGTGAGGGGGCAGTAACACTTCCTGCAGTCTTCAACCATAAATCCACAGAGTTCATCTCCCTTGTTCCACAGCCCCATAATGCTACTTTCAGCTTCTGTTCAGACTTGCCTTGCAAACCCAGCCCAGGTAGTACAACGCTGATCATCCAAGGAAACTGTTTAACCATCATGCCTTTTATTCATGAATGGCTTGGGAGATTATGGACCGCAATCCAAAACGAGACTCTATATATCCCCAATGCTATGTTGCTGCATTGCTATGACCATTAAAAAGCCTGGTTTCATTTCATTCAAATACTGTACAGTACGCTGGGATGCTGAGAACACGGCCGTCACTTGGGTCTCCCGTTTCTTTTCCATTTCTTTCAACAAACTTCACTGGAGCAGAGGGTGTTGGCTCTCTGTTGCCTGAGTTCTGGACCTTGGAATTCCAACTCCGCCTTCTACTCTCCTCTTCAGGCGAGGAGACTACTCACAGCTCTGCAGCTCACATCATGTGTGTGTAAAGAAACGACAACAACAAAAGAAGCCTTCTTGGTTACCTGCTTTTGTTTCTTTGATTGGTTGATTGGTTGGTTGGAGGGAAGATTCTTGTTTTTTTTAAGTGTCTCTTAAATACCAGGACAGGGTATGTTTGCACCGTCAAACATTACACAAGTCCAGTGAGATACAAAGTTTGGAGATTGCCCCTTTGTTGTTAGGCAGTGCAGGTCCCAGCAGGAAACGCCCCAAGCTTAGGTCAGAGGAAGCCAGCAAGACGGAACCTGCCGAGCCCCACAACATAGGGAGGGAGGGAGGATGTCCACCACGGGACACTTTCTGCAGACAAGCGGCACACATTCTATGGTACTGGATACCGGAGAAGACTTTCTTAGTGGGATTTTAGGAGCACTTGCGTTTCTCTTTGTGATCGCAGGAGTGCCTACATAACCCACTCATCTCAAGTAGCCTGATTTTAGCATGAAAAATAGAAGAGAGAAGAGAAAGCCATTTTCTAAGATCTCTTAATTGCAAAGATCAGCTACGTGAATGGAACAAAAATCTGTGAAATTTAGCTGCCATGTAAAATACCTTGATCATCTGAAAGCACCGCTAACGTATATCAAGAATTCAGTGACGAAGTAGAGAGAAGCAAAAGTCAGCACTCACAGCATTAACACGGGGCTTATTTAAAGATGCTCTCCACTCCTTATGGCATGGAACGTTCACTATTTATTAGCTGGGGAAGGGGGAGGCTCATTTTGATATGCCCATTTGACTCATGGCAAATATAAAGAGCAGGGTCTCCCAGTAGAATATTTGCATGCACAGTCTAAGTGGGTCTCCTCCTGAGAACTTGCTAGAGTCTCTATGTCCTCACTGTTTCAAGATTGCTGCGGAGTTCGGAATTTCTTCCTTGCCCCTGTCTCAGCTGCCCGGCGCACTGAGATCATGAGGTATACCTTGTGCCGGAAAGGAAAAGTAAATATTAGGCCGCTGTAACTGAGGTCATAGTTTCTCCATGTCTAGACGCCCCAAGGACCCGCTGCCTCCTGAACCTGACGTGCGTTTCACAGACTTACGAGTGTGAGAATTGCTTTGTAGTGGGGCGCTCGTTCTGCACTTGCAGACAAGCTTCAAAGTTGCATTTCAGAATTTTGTGCTAAGTCTCTGCTCAGGTTATTTCTCCTTCCTCCACCCCAAACAAATGACTTGGCATAATGAGCTGATGGACAGTCTGACCACTGTGTTTCACAGTTTCACTCATCAGGTGAATGTCTGTAGGTTTTCGTAAACTAGCTACACTCCCATGCCGTTGTTTATGTAGCTCTCTTCAACCGCTTGAAGTTTATGAGTTTAAACGAGAAAGAGAAAAAGTATCTACTAAAAACAGCCTGAGAAAACAATTGCTTGTTGTAGAAAAAAATAAATGGGAATTGTTTTTAATGCTTCTCTTCTCCTTACACAGACCACTTCACTTTGGTTCTTTTATTGCTTTACTATGTCACAATATATAAAAAAGTCAAGTATGACGAAAGACACACACACACACATATGCACTTGGGCTTTTAAAGGTAGTCCAGGGAAATAAGTCTTTATGAATGGACCTGAACAACTGTATGGTTCATGACATTCAAAGCCTATATAGTTACTTGCAAAAATTTGCCAAATAATCACAAATGCAGATCTCTATGTGTACTTCTCCAAACAAAAATAGTATATTACTTCTTCTGCGGCCAACGGCCAAGTAAAATGCAGGCTGTATGTGTGTGTGTATGCGTGTGTGGTGTGTATGTGTATGTGTGTACAAGAGCAAGAAAGAGACAAAGAGACAGAGACAGAGACAGAGATAGAGACAGAACTATGTTTTTACAAAAATACCCTCTAGGCCTCTGTGAATATTTTAGGACATAATGTATTTTATTCAGTTCCTGTTCTGAGCACACTATATTCTTTAGTTTGTGTGTCTTCAGGTGATCCACAAGAGGTTATTTAGAGAAATATATAATAAAATGTCCTTTGAAATATGATTCCCAATGATAGCTCGGGTATTTATGTTTTTTAAATCAGAACTATTATACTACAAGTCCACAACAAAAAAAAAGAAAACAGAAAGCCCTCAATGAGGTGTAATGGTGCACGACTATAATTCCAACACTCTGGGAGGCTGATACAGGAAGATTAAAAGTTCAAGCAAGGCCAGCCTGAGCACTTTAGGAAAATAGTAAGACCCAGTCTCAAAATAAATTTAAAAAAGGGTTGAGGAGGTAGCTTAGTGCAGAATCCTGGATGCAATCCCCAGTACCACGAAAAAGAAAAGGAGAAAGGAAAAGAGAAATGCATGAAAAAAAGAAAGCCCTTACTCCTTACCGCCACTGCCAACACTTTAAGTTACATTGGTTCTGAAGCCGGTTGTTCTCTATGGGAATGTCTTCATGGTTTTAACTTTTTGGTTTGCTTTGGGCAAAGAGGAGAGCTGTCTCCGTGGTGCTAGCATAACAACAACAAAAGTAACAATAACATCAGGAAATGTATTGTTTAAATAACTATACACTGATACTGGCAAGTACTGCCCTACCTCCTGCGCAGAAGGGCCATGACTTAAAAGCAATAACGCTGCAAGGACAAACTTCTTACTTTCTCTAATTTTTGCTTCCTTCAAAAAGTAGAAGGGTGTATGAAATGTGCTGCTTTATTCACTCCTTTCATGTACACATTTTCCCTCTTGTTGGCAGTCTATCCCCACATCTAGCTTCTGTTAAATAATTTTAGAGTTCCCTACAACATTGTGAACTTATGTTGTGTTATACTTTATGTCTTATTCTAGTGAGTTTTTCCTATGTCTCTTTCCTTCTCTGGAACTTTCTGAAAAGCAGAGATTTTTTTCAGGGACTTGTCTACCTCATCTATTAATGTGGATTAATTAATCAATTAACATTTATTTCATGTTTTAAGCTATTTTAATATTGTGAAAAAAAAATTAGTTTAGCTCCATAAGTTCACAAAAATAGACTATAATTAAAATAAAGGATTGAATTTTTTGAATAATCTTACAATGAAAAAATATCATTGTAAGAATCAAGAAAAATTGTGTTTTTCTTAGCAATTGGATTTGTCTCCAGAAAATAAACATTATTTGGTTGGGCTAATACTTTGATTAGCTGCACTGGTTAAGAAATAACACCCCAAACAGCAGGACTGAGCAGTAACAGACAATGCTTACTGAATTTTAAGGGATCTAGTTCACTAATGTACAGCTTTTGTTATCCTGCTTCAGGTCAGGCGTACCTGTTAAAAGCAAGCACTACATCGTTTCAGAAAGTACAAAGAATTTGGAGACAGTAGGGGGAACATAGAAAAGAAAAAAAGGAGAAAGAAAAGATTTTGACATGTAAAAGAAATTTGAGGAAAGAACTGAAATACCTTACAGATATCCCGTAAAGCTTTGCTGTGCAATGTGTGTTGTAATATTTATTTCACCCTCCTGAAATATTTAGCAAAACCTACATGACTCACAAATACAGCACAGATTTGAATCTGTATTTTGAAGAATGCGCTGGAATCATGAATTAAATTTCACGATTGATATAGGGCAAGACCACACCACCTCTCTGCTTGTACTAGTTAAACTAAGAAGCAAGCTCCGTAGTAGTGGAGGAGCAGGGTAATGCTTTAAGTTCTAGAAAGAAAGAAAAAGGACAAAGAAAAATGATAGCAGCTTTAATAATAAGAAGTTTAAAATTTTTATATTATAGAAAAACATACAAGAAAAATTAACAGGAGAGGGTTAATTAATATGTCTCATAAAAATTCATGAGAAAACATCGAGGAACTAACATGGTAAAAAAAATGAACAGTTGATGATTAGTAAACAAACATATGGGAAGATGCTTCAACTCACTGTTCATGAAGAGGATGTAAAATGAAAAAGTTACCTTTGAATATTATTAAATGAGAAAAATATTGAAGCTAATGCTATAACCCCAAGTGATTGTAAATCTTTGCAAAGTAATGTGAATTTCTTCATTGCTACTGGAGATTAAGTTGAACAAGTTTTTTAGTTAAAAAATTATGTTTCAAAATCTAAAAACTGGTACATATTCTTTAACCTAGTATTCTTGGAATTTATTCTGAAAAATAATCTGAAAGACAGAAAATATATGGATGAAGATACTCTTCAGTGTAGCAAATTGAAACTGTTGATTTTTCAAAGCAATGGAGTTTCAAATGCTTTTCAAGTTTTATCCTTACTTATTCTTGTGTCATTTAGACTATTTTTTAAATGACTGTTCTTGATGCTTAAGATTTTTAACAAGATCCCTCGCATTTCTCTATCAAAAATAATTGCTTTCATCATTTCAATTTATTGTGCATAGATTTTCTCAAAAACAGAGCAGTTTGAATACAGTTTATAATAGTACTTTGACTTCAAAATTGTCATAATGTTGAAAATATATTAACACTATTTCTTTGGTTTAATTCATATGTAAAACTATTTTGCTTTTAAACTGAAACAAGGTTGATTTTTTAGTTCAAGATTGGGACTTATTTTACATCTCCAATAATATACATCTTAGAAAAGAATTATTTTCACAATCACCTTTTACTAACAAATGAGATATTCGGTGCAATAAATTTTTAAAAATAGGAAGATGCATAAAGAAAAAAGTAAAATTGCCAGCCTCTCACTACCAAAGGTACCCATTTATTAATACCACCTATAAATTCTGTATCTATGAACAAAAATGAATCAATAACATGCATACCATTTTATGAACTTTTTTTACTTGTAGGATAGTTTTGCATTTCATTAATATTGTCTCATGGTTTTAACACTATACTGTATTTATCTGTCATTGGATATCAAGTGTTGGATCAGTTCTACCTTTTTTAAATGGAATGTCAAAAAAGAAAAGTTATGCAAATGCCTTATAAAGAAAGAGAAATAACACTACCAAACACACTTTGACCAACAATACTTCTTTCCACTGAATTCTCTACCACTCTGCTTTATGGAACTAAAGCCAAATGTTTTTGTTTTATTATGACTTTTACTGTAACTCGGAAGTCAATACTCTACCATCAGCCGTGGGTTTGCATGTGAAAAATAGGTAAGGAAATTAACTAGAGAGCTCTGAGCTCAAGGAATTGAATTTGCGTCTAATTCACTAAACATACATGTTTACGTGAGCTTCAGAAAAAGGAATTAAGCCAGTTTTTCTCTAGCACTTGGCAGTCCACATTTCAAAGGACAACTGAACCAAAAGTCCAAAGTATTTTTCACAAGATAGCCAGGCTACCAGAAAATTTCTTTAATTCAAATATATATTTCACCACTAAAATCATGGTGTCATTAGCCTGGTATGTTGGCCCTAATAAGAAGCTAAGGTATGCGTTTTAGTCCTAGCTGAAATGTTTCATCACTTCTAGACTGTTTTACTGAGTATTACACCATTCCTAGGGGCTGGGGATTTAGCTCAGCACCAGAACACCTGCCTGGCGAGCTCAACGTCGTGAGTTTGATACCCGGTACTGGAAAAAAAAAAAAAAGCCAATCCTATTCTCTTGTTCCAAATTACAATGCAATATTTTAAAATTTTATTGCAAAGCATTCAGGTTTTGTTTTGACAAAATTCTGATCAATTCCATGTCTGCAATTGATGATAATGTCTAGTATAAAATTGACATAAAGTCCAGAAGCTGTGTTAGGGTCGAGCCCTGTCACTAAATGTCGGTGTTACCGAAGTAAGCAATTTAAGATTTCCAAGACTTTGCTTTAATTGCCTGTAAATAAAAAGATTGCAATCTAACATCTCCAAGATTCCAAGATTTGATATTTTGGGATCTCAGTCCCCATCACCTATTCTTTCTGGGAAGATATATAGTGGTAGCCATATATTACAAAGAACTCACACTATGTAGCAGCCACAAAGATTGGGTAAAATAGCCAGTCTCCTCATTCTGGGGTTTACATACGAACCCTGGGGAAGGGTTCTGCTACTCAATACTTACTGAGTGAAAGGAATAAATATATTAGTAAACTATGTAGGACACACGTAGGGCGAGAACAAGATTATATTATTTTGTCAATATAGTATCTACAGCACAAAGCTCAGCAATTTCCAGTTAGCATTCTGTGTTCCATACTATATATTTAGCTTCGATTTGTGCATGAAAAAGATTCTAACTGTAAATGTAGCAAAGGGAGGAAACACCGGAGACCAGATACATAAAAAAGGAGCCAAATATTCTAGTTGATAAAAATTATTCCAGTATTGGTCTTTTCTAAAATCTTACTTTATTCTCCTTTTGACAGGTAGTTAAGGATTCCTTTTTCTTGAGAATAGAAGACCTGAGAATTGTGATCAGTGGAAAAGGAGGAGTCATCAACTTGGAAATAATTCAGAAAAAGAGAAATAAAGACAATTAACAAACTGGAGGAATGACAGGAAAAAGTTGGTTAGAAGAACTCTATATAGTCTGACTGAGCAGAGACTAAAGAGCACAAAACCCATTCAGGAGTATCTGAGTATGAAATAACGTTTGTTACTGAAGATTTAATTCAATATATTTGAGTAACAAAGCTAGCCAAGGCTGACTGAAGGAGAGGGTTACCTTATGAAAAGCAAATCAAAGACATATTTTTTTGAATTAAAGGTTAGTTGATACACTTACAGAAATAGTAGGTTGAAAAAGAATAGCTTCTTCTTTGGTCCAAAATATGTAAATGAATGCCAAGCAAATCAAATAGAATTGTCTTTTAGCTACTCTGTTTGGAAGGGAGCCAGGGAAACTAGTCTAAAAGACTTTCAACAAATGTCTCGACAACTGCTTATGAAATGTCAACTATGCAAAGAAATACTACTCCGGGTCCTGGGAATATCCCAACAAATAAAACTGATTCCTACCCTCACGGATCTCACACTCTGAAAGGGAAGAGGAAGACAGGAGCAATAAACAATACTATCAGTGTCAGGTGTGGGTAAGTGACTACACAGCAACAGTGGAGAAAAAATTATTAGAGTAGAATTTAATTTAAAGAGGAGTTTAGGAATATTATTTGGACAAACTGAGATTGGAGCAGACACTTGCATGAAATGAGGAAGCAAAATCCATGAAACTTTGTGGGGACAGCATTCCAAGAGGGAAAGCAAGGGGTGCAAAGATCTTGGAGGGGGAACATTTGTGGCTTATTCAAGGATGAGTAAAGAGGTCAGTGTGGAGGCTGTAGAATGAACCAGAGAGAGGAATTCAGAGAGATAGCAGAGGGAAGACCATACCGAGCATGTAGGTCAAGATAAAAATTATGGCTTTTGCTCTCAGTGAGATAAAAAGCTACTGAAGAACTTTCAACAAAAAAGCCATATTTCCAAAATATTTCAAAAAAAGTCTTTCCAGTTGCTGCAAGAAGATGAAATTGTAGAGAGCAAGGGCCAAAGGAAAGGCATCAGTTAGGCTGCTAATTAG